AAACAGCAATGGCAAACAGTGTACACCATACCAGGACTGGGTAGCTTAGAAGTAAGGCTATGCCGGCTCAACAAGGGAAACTACTCGCCTTAGGGAATGCCCTAGCCGCTGAGAGTGACCCTGAGCTCAGTTAGGGAAGCTGAAAGATTTTTGTTGCCGTCACACACCAGTCATCAACCAGTTATCCAGCATTAGGGGCAGGCCAGATCGGCCGTGGTGTGCGAGATAAGTATCCTGCGAGGCACCCCACACGCTGAAAGCAACAACCATGGTTATTTACGGCATACCGGAGCTGACAACCGACACATCAGAAGAGAAGCATGTTCGCGACGTCCATAAATGGCATTGGTTATTAGCGATGATACGGTTAAATGGGATGGCGGCGGCGGTGGTCTGCGGACTGCCACATCTCTCACGTTTGGCGACGAAAACATCGCCGCAGTTGATGGCTGCTAACTTCGGTTGTCAAGAATTTTCAACCGAAGTACTGCAAACTTGGTACGCAGTAGGAGACAACGTCGGCAGGAAAGCTCGTTGCTTTGAAATCAGACTCAGTACATTGAGACAACAGCAAACAACAGGCCCGCCTATTGCTGAAGTCACCATCACTGTCAACAGACAAGATATACAAACAAGGCTAGACTCTATGAAACTACCAGAAACCTTTGTGCAAAAAAACGTGATTGGGCTGGTTCCACTGGGGCTGGCTGTCCTGTAGCAACTTTCGCCATTGCGCACTACCCGCTTCAGTCTGGTACCACCAAGATGCCTAATGTTATTAGAAACATATCCAAGTGTCATTATAGTAATGTGAGGGGACTTAAAAGTAAGATGGGCGGATTACGATTTCTCTGTTCCTGCCTTGCTCCAACGATCACAATCCTAATAGAAACTTGGTTGTCACCGGATATTAGTGACATCGAAACTAATATAGACAGTATGCGTCTGTTCAGAAGAGACAGGGAGTTTAGGGAAGGAGGGGAGTGGCTATGCTTACAGGTGACCATCTAAAAAGTGGACGAGCAACTTAAACCCTACCTTAAGGGCTCCTAGACTCCATCTGGTGTCACTTTACGGTTGGATACACCAAGTACCTCACAGGAGGCGTCTACAGAACACCTACTAGCGGCATGGAACATGGCCGACAACTGCTGCAAGTGATGTCAGGAACAACGTCCATAGGGTATGACCAGGTCATCATAGCCGGCAACTTTAATGCTCCGACCCTCAATCTCAGGCAGGACAGGGAACCTCAAGCCGAAGGTTCGACCGAAACCTAATCAACACTATCCAAAAGGCTGGACTGCAAGGGAATATTGGTGATGAGACTTGCTGGGGGTTGCACGGAAGGCCGTCCGATCTGGACTACCTTTTCGCCAGTGACCACCTGCTGGTAGAAAATATACAGGTTCAAACCTCCCTCGGCAGCAGCAATCATGGGGTGGTAGTGTTCGATCTGGTATTCAACGAACAACTGTGATGGGAGGGGCCTCACCCCTGTCTTTGCTACAACAAGGCAAACTACGTGGTGATTCACCAATATCTGTCGACAGAATCGTGGCCTCAGTAGTGCAGCAACCTTTCGATTGATCAACATTGAGGACTAGTTGGAGATATCGATAGGGCTATCTCTGAAAACGTCTCTGTGATCACAGCGATTCCGCGAAAGCTAGCCTCATGGCCGAAACGAGGCACTGAACGCCTTTTGAAAGCCAAGAGGAAAACATGGCACAAGTGGAGGACCTCCAGAGAAGAGTCTTAGAACACCGCACATACGGCCCTAAGAAATAGATGCAACATCGGAGTGGGGGGAGATAAGAGGCTGTTCCAGACGAACCTTACCCTGAGGCTCGAGGCGAACCGCAGAAACCTGTATCAATTTGTGGCAGACAGAAAATCCACCAGCCAGAGGGCCCGCATACTGAAGGGCCTGAACGGAGAGGACCTCCTCGGATCAGAGGTCACCGGAGCCTTCGACAAGCAACTGAACTTGTCTCTATCGAACCAAAATTGCCAGCTGTCCGGGCAGCATTCGACACCATTACGTGCAGTGGAGTTGCCTGGAATAAAGGCGACTTCTACCATGATTCTCGAAAAGCCATCAAAGCTCAGCCTGGGAAAATCACCAGAAAACGATGACATCCGACAGGCTGTGTTGAAAGAATGCGCAGGTGCCTCGCGCAGCCCGCTGCCTAATCCGTTTCAAAACTCCTTAGACAGCCATATGCTTCAAGGGGAGTGGAAACGTGCCATTCTGTCCCCCATCTTCAAAGGTGGAAACAGGCAAAACCTGAAATGTTACCAACCCATAGCCCTTCTACCAGTGGTGTCAAAAGTAATGGACAGCCTGGTAAACGACCACGTCAGGGAGTGCTTAGAAAAGGTAGGAGCACTAATTAGTGCCCAACGTGGTTTCAGAAAGGGTAGGTCCTACACCTCAGACATTCTTGGGACCGGTGATAAGTGGACGGCATACTGGGACCTCCAAATTCCTGTCCATGTTATTTCCCCGGATTTAGCCAAGGCGGTCGTCATAGCCTCACATGCCGTTCTTATTCACAAGATATCAAGGTTGGGCATCAAGGGGCAGGTGCTCTCATAGTTACAGTATTATTTAGACGGCAGAAAATTCCGAACAAAAGCCAGCGGCGTCTGCCCGACTTGAAGGACATCGTATTGCGTTTCACAAAGATCGATTCTGTGTCGAATGCTTCTCATTCATTTTGTGGACGATCTCACGCTGAATCTCAGGTACCATGCTCTCTCTGTGGAACACAACTTTCCCACACCACCACCGAGAAAGACCTAGGACCAATACTGACTGACAAGCTCTAATTATCCAGGAGATGCCTCCAAAGCCTACGCAGTACTGCTCTTCATACGCGGACAGCTAAGTGACCTGACCTCAGAACTCTTTTTGAAGCTGTATAAGACCTATATACGATCCCATCCAGAGGTACACAACGTCATTGCACCACCATATCTGAAAAGAGACGTGGACCCCCTAGAGAAGGTCCAAAGGCGAGCTACAAAGGGTGTCGTGGGAATGAGGCGAAAACCACATCAGGGCAGGCTGAAAGATCTAGGGCTCTCCTCTCTATGCCACCGCAGATTAGGTGGTGACTTGACGACGGCTTACAAAATACTAAGTAACCCAAGTCATCCGGGCAGTGGAATCCTACCGAACGGCCACTATGGCGATCCCCATGGTAACCCAAGGAGGATCGCTCACCAAGGAGCGAAAACCCGTGTGAGTTCACACTTTTTCTCTGTGCGAGTTTGCGGCCACTGGAAAGCATTGCCTGCCGCGATTGCTACTGCTCCGTCTGTTGGGGTTGGAAAGTTACGCAGCGACTCACGGTCTGCGCTCGTCCAACTGGGATGTGAACTAGGCTGACATGACTTACTAACTCGGTACGACCAACCGTCAATGAACACTTTGCAACACCACTATCACTGCGAACTTGACCCAACCTTATGCTTCTCTGTGGACGTCTTGTCCAGTTGCTGTCTCTCACGAAATGAATTGCTACATCCTTATTCGTCCTATCACGTTATTTATTATTCTTCTTTCTGACTTTACGCTTTCGAACTTTGAGAATAGCTCTCCCTATCACCCCCGTCCTATGAACCTACCAATGCTTCTCCTTACGTACCGTTTCTTTTTTGCATGTCGAATTATTAGTACCTTCCACTAAGTTGTAGTGCAAGCTTCTGCCAAGTTGTGAATTAGGCGGCTTTCTAAGTTTCGTCGTATCTCGATGAAGCTAATCTTGGTGTGCGTAATAGTTCAGCAAACGATCTTCAGTCATAATGATAATGATAATATATTCCGAGTGGCGAATTATAAGAGCACATGCCGTTTTTACAGACAATATCTGGAATGATATAACGCAAACTTGACACACGCAAGGACCAATCGGTAGTACACCAATGGGTGAATCATCAGGAAAGAACACAACGCAGCAGTTGGAAGGGTAGTATGTTTGATAGACCATGCAAAAATGCCAACACATTCCGACTAGCTGACCAGCGGATCACATACTATCAGTCCTATGTGACACGACAATGTGCCGGGTGGCGTGGATGCTTAACCATGTACCTTCACCTTGGCCAGTGTGTTGCGGCTAAAAAGGTTAGAAACACTGTGGAAATCGAGGCGGCTGAGTCTGGGGAATTATTATTAACTGCGGGTCCTCAAACCTATTTTGAAGTTATCACAGACCTTTCTATGCGTATCAAAGCTTTGGATCGAATCCTCTGCGCTGTGCGAAAGCTGTATATAAGAAGGAAAACAAGGGAATGAACTTGGCAGTTGCCCGTGCTCTTCCACGTGACCTGCCTATTCGTGCAAATAAACGGAAGAGGGGCAAAGAATAAGGTATAGGTTCAAGCAATCCGAACGCAATTCACTAGCAAAGAGATATTGACAGCTCAGGACATTTTGATTGCATTTAAGTTAAAAAAGCTTGCATCCAGTTGTTTAGCTTCTTTGTAGTCATCACCTTAATAAAATGAAGGCTGGGCCGCAAAACATCCACCTCACCGAAGCTAAAAGCAAGAAAGCAGAGGGGATTTCCTCGTCCACTGCAGGAGTAGACCGAACAACTGGAACCAAGCCCTAAGAACTAGACGCGAGAGATCAAAAACTACCAGTTTTCTACGCTCGCACTATCAATATTGCATATTGGATATTGGGCCTCAAGAACCAGAAGTCAGAGCTACTAAAATACAGCCTTTCACTACTTACACTACTGATGCTAGATGTTCGATGTTACTTAAAGTCACGGAAGGGTTGGATCGCAAATAAACACTTTAGTTACAAGTATAGCAAGAAAATGTTCTTTTTCCTAAACATTTCGACTCTGAGACAGAAAAAGATTGGTTGTGTAATTAGAATGAAAACTGTGTGTTTTCGTTTTACAGAACTACTAGTTTACCTAAACTCTCACATGAACCAATGGGAACGGAATTTGCAGGTCAAGTCGGTAATGATTGGTGCGCATTAGATGTTCTTTGCGCGCTCTCATCAGTCTAATAAGGACCAGTTTATAATCTATCTGGTTTATAAACCTCGATAGTTACCATATGTTTGCACTGTAACATAGCATATTGTCATGTCCGAACCGGGGAATTTGAGTGACGAGCCTATTCTTGACTCAGGAGTAAAGTATAAAGTTGGAGAGCCATCACAGGATGAAATTGAAGGTATGGTGTTGGTGGGACATTATTCATGCTTTATTATGATGTGATATGTTAGAATAGCTTTCTGTATTGCATGAATACTAATATGTCCATTATAGTTTTTTACTGAACAAGCCTGTCCCATAGCTCTTGTTCTATAAATCCTTTCGCTACTAGAATATCATTTCTTACAAACACGTTAAAATACCCTGTCATAATGACTGCTTAAATTCGTTTGGTTATATCAAGTATTTTGACTAGGAAAATCGTATGAAATCCAGTAGACTGATGCAAACATGCTGTACTTGGTAATATATGTATGCCCATAGTGTTGCGTTCGATTTAGTAACACCAGGTAGATGTGGATCTGTATTCAGGTCATCACAAGCGCAGATGCTTTTTTAGCCGCTTAAAAAATTATTGAAAACTTATGAACCCACTTTTAAATGCGCGGTAATTATATACCTATTTAAACCATTTGAGCGATAGTTGTTTGTGCTATTTCGTTATATTATTGGGCATAGTCAATCATTATTAAATGTTCTGCAATGCACTTCGTTTTGTGCGGAAAATAGTATTTTGGATAATGGGATTTAACTTTAATCCATACCTTAATACACAATTTTACATGTGTGGAATTTACCCACCTACTCGTACACCTGTTTTCGTTGGTGCACTTTATGCATGCAGACGTAGTAGTGCGATGCACGTGGCAAAACCCTAGTAATATGCTACGGTGTGTGACAAAAGTTCTCATATATTGTCCACACAGCTTTTTGGAACACGGCGAATTCCAACACCATATTTCATAATTAGCTCCTTCCACTTCATTATAATTAAAGAATTTCCCGTTGTTGAAACTATCATAACTCGTGATCTACTACGTAGTATGTTAGTTTCAACTGACACGTCTTTCAGTGCTGGCACATGTTAAGTGAAGAATTCTCAAGTTTGTAAGGTTATATAGTAAGTATTGTGAACAACAGTTTGTTGGGTGTTATTATTGTTTCACTGATACAAACATGAACTTATTTTTGTAAGTTTGATATACTGCACACTAACCGTCAGTACTTTCAACCCTGAATGCAACGTAAGCTATAAGGAAGAAGAAAAAACTAGTGTTATTTGGCAGTGGAAATCACGAAACTGCTTAAAATTAGCAAATGGAATTTAATTGGCCTCATGATTTCTCAAGAGATTTCATAATCACTTCGAGTCTTCAGTAGATTAGATGCAGCATACTTCATGCGAATAAGTCTGGTTGTCTGTTTAATTGTAGTTTTCGTGAATTAAAGACCTGATTGTGTACTATCACTACGATATAATACGCTTAATCATTCATTATCGGATGTGTAAAAGGTCACTGGTAAAAGATGTGAACATAGACGGATGGCTAGAAAAGAATTCACCTTCCTAGAAAAATATAGTCTAACAGCTTCCCAACGTCAATAAATAGACAGATTCTGTGGAAGATGTCTATTGAAGACTTCTTGGTATATAGCTGTTATGTCGTTGGTTTAGACACTACTGTAAACAGAACGATTATGAGCATAGCATTTTTATGGATGTGGTTTAAAAGTTACTAGATAAATATATAAACTTTAGTACTTGTATTTCGTGTTGATTTAGTGCAACCCACTGATGTTTGCTGTAGTTATCGTTTAGTAAGGTGATGAGGATTTGAAAAGTCGGGTTGATTCCATTAGGTTAACAATAAAAATATGTGAATACCTGCTGTCAATTGAACTTTCTCTTATTTTACATGATAACTGCTAGGAATGCAACCCAGTAAACAGTACTAATAATGCATTCTGCACATAGACCCCGGAACTACAGAATGCAGTGCACATAAGAGATTCAACTGAGTGTTAGCCCTTAAATATTTTCGAAGCTGTCAAACCTTTAACCGTATAAAATTTCTTGCGTGAATAAAAAAATAAGAATTGCCATGGTTGTGCACTGGTCCAGTTTGTTAAACAGAAGCAATACATCAATTGAAATGAATCACTGCAAAATGAAATGCGAAATCAATACAAATATGATAATGAGACATATATTACTTACAGTTGAATAGAGAATTTATCTCCACCAGACATTGGCTTTGAATCACCAGGTAGGGTTTGAAACCAGTCCAACGAGAATGAGTACCCCAAAGAACAATCATTAGATTCAGCCTTGACCACCCATATATCTCTTATGTTCTACTTTTTACTCATATAGATGATAAACTACTTGTGTACACGTCATTGTTAGGGTTTATCTTTGTGTTGTCTACCGTAAGCACTAGTTTTCTTTTATAGTAGTTTTTTGGAACTCAAAATCTGCCACTTATTACTACTTCGGTGTTTTGTCATTTAGACCATCGATCTAAGCTGTCTATGATTGCTGGCCTGTCTGTAAACAATGGTGTAGCTACCCTAAGCACATCACTACCACAAGGAATTGGTTCAGGTCCTTCAGCCCATCGTCCTCGTAGACGACGTAAACGTATTGGACCAAGTAATACAAAGGATGACAGTTCCAAAACATTTCGTAAGTCTTATTTTTCGCGGTAAGTTTTCATTACTTCTAGCACACTGACAACCCCAAATATTTATTCACTTTCCTCTTAGGCTAGAATGTCTTCCGGACTATAGGAATGCGTGCAAACTGTTCTCTATTATCTTCAAACTAGGATTCTATGATGTACATTTTGATATGAAGTTCTACCAGCATTTATTAGTAACCTTGACTTATGCTACAGTAAAATCACATCTATTTCCTTTGTGAAATTTGTTTATAGTATAGTCATCCTATGAAGTAAAAATTCCATAAACTTCTGGTAAATCCGAATACTTCTCCAGTTATGAGAGCTGCTTCACATATGTTCATGTAAATGTCAAGACTAAACTGAACTGATTTGTAAATGTATGGAGGGCTATGTTATCTTGTTTACTGATCCCACTATTTGAAGATCTGCTTAACAGTGCACAAGCTTACACACTTATTAAATGTTCATGGTTCTGTATACAACCTTTTGATGGTTCTTATTTTATTTGACCTAGTTATACAGGGAAATACTTCTGCTTGTGGTTATTCACTTTTAGTGTCTGTTTCTCGCTGATGCGGGTTGTAATTTGAAAATAATTATGTTTTCTTTGTGGAAAATGCACGCGCATCTTCAGAATTTCATTTGTGTCATAACTTAAAGGGGTGCACTTCTGTGTAAGGTTCTACGTCAGTTTGGCCATGCATTCATCTGAGTTCCAAATGCATTAGGTATAATTTTGTGTCTAGCGCGCACTTTTTCCTACTTACAACTGCAGTCGATATCAAGTGGTACATTGCAGGAAAAGATGGCTCTAAAGTCGTTACATGTAGTCCAACCATCTTATTTGTGGCACATTCACAGCTTACCTTGCAAAAAATATGTCTAACCCAACAAAGTTCCTATCCGTTAGTCTCTTTATCCACGAGAAATCTTTTGAGAACATCGGCGAACAAGTAACTGGTTTTACGATACTGTATGTTATAACACAACATATCTCTGTGTGGTATACTTACTATCTCATAGTCAGTTATCCTACTCGTACTACAGACAGAGTAAGTTGGCGAGTACTGGTATGATTCTCTGTGTAACAAAGTTATGTTTGACACTAGCGTTTGTGATTGACATATTCAAAAACCTCATTCACAGCTGATTTTCATAAGCTTTCCCATTTTGTCACTATTTTCACGCAATATGATGTCATCTACATACTGTAAGGTGGTTCGTAGGTTTGAAGTTACGAGACCATATTTGAGACGTTAGAGGTAAAAGAACTTTCCTTCAATGAGGCTTCACAATAAAGTTTAACAAGAATGGGGACAGTGGACTGATACTTTCTAGCAAACCTATTTTATAATTAATTATTTATAGGGGTTCATATGATGGTGTAAGTCGAAGCAAAAAGCATTTATAAATAAGATATATCACCTACCATAATGTTCAGAGAGAGAATGAAAAGCACTACTATGCAATCTGTCAGTTTGTAGAGCTGACTGTCATCTTTAGGTAGGATGCTGTTAGATATTCCTGTATTCCGAAACATGACAAAAGGCGAGAAGGTAATGTAAAAGCGCTTATCTAGTCTACATACTTGCCCGGTTTTTCCGGAGTCACCATCTTGAAGCTTTGTTCGAGGCACCAGCTAAGCAAAATACTGTGTCGCTATTTGGTGTTACATTACCCTTCCTGGTCCCGTCCTGAATGGAATTAATGATGATATAATCAAGTTAGAGATAGTATCTCTGGTCACATTGTTTCTAGTTTTTAATCTCTGGAAGAGTATGAGTTTCCTAGATGTTGTGGATACTCCTTACCACAGAGTTAAAAACCAATGTCTCTGGTTTCCTTCATACCTTCAGCAACCCATATTTTTAGTGCAATTCATTGCAAAACATCTTCATTTTTCTATCTGTATGTGTTTAAATATAATTGGGCAAGGTGGTTAAAAGCATTGGTGATGAAACATGAAAAAGAAATTGTGTTTACTACTACAGCTTACTATGCTGAAAGTTAGTGTTAGTGCCTGTTACAAAGCCACCTACATATAAACTGTTTTTCTTCTCTTTCACAGCTACTAATCCAAGTGAACATGTGATGTTTTTGCTCGGTGAATGCGATGGAGATGAAGAACAGACACACCAGCTATTCTGCGAATTAGATGAGCTATGGAATGATCCATCTGGATCGGGTGAAACAGAATGGAGAGAGGCTGCAAGGTCAGTTTGGTTTCCTTAGTTGGTAGTATTTATCAAGTTGTAAGCGTCAAATTCACTTTTATGAAACTTCATTTTATATAAGCCACGACACATGATAAGTTATATTTGGACACTAAGATCTACTATCTGACATATCAGCATAGTCCCGATTCGTTGGTAAAACTTACAACCTCTGTTTACTAAAGATACTATGATTCCACACTTCCAGTAAAGCGGACCATGTCGAAAGTTACGAACACCTCTGTGACCACAACAAGTATGCTTCAGTAACCATATGTATTCAGCAGAATGTGATTCACATGTATTTGGTTAAATTTAGCAGTACTATGCGGTTACTGAAAAAAGTAAGGATTAATTTAGGAGTATATTTCCCTTCAAGCTAGGTGCAGTGGTAGTCTAAAATGGCTGAGAAATGTGTTATTCATTCCGAGGCTCTGTCTCACTCGATGTTTAATGTTAACTAGAGTAAAAAAAAGCTAGTGGTTGCCAAAACGAGGCATGGCCTAAGTTATTTGGGCGGGACGCGTTAGTTGTTTGGCTATAGTGCCTTAGATTTTAGGAATCAATGGTTGGAGACGCTTGGTGATGTTGCTCAAAAGCAACCTCATTGGAACAAACGTATCCACTATTTATCAACTTCAAAGTTCCGAATTCTGTTTATTTCGATCTACTTTCATTCTTATGAGATCCTTCTTTCTTCTCCTGATTGTTTTCCATTACTTTCAATGTCATCTTTCTGCGTGTGCAGAGTTTGGCAAGTAAGACCACTGCACTTTTATGTGTAAGGTTCTCAATTGATTTGTTTTGATTCGTCAAACTGGGTAGTTGAGCAAAGACTGTAAAAGTTTAAACATTTGATTTCGACTCTTCGGCTTAATGACAACAAATTCGGGAAAAGAGTTGTGAAAGTCTGCTAATTTTGATCCCAGAAAATGTTGCTTAATAGTCACAAGCTAGAATTGTAGAAAGGTTCAACTCCTCATAGTTCTTGGTCCACCTCTGATTCATATCATGTAATAAATAATGAAAATTATCTACACATTGAATGGCCCATAAAAGCATCCAAATTGTTAACGTTTTAGCAGTGGATAAAAGGAATTAAATTTTTGTAGTTTGCATTTTTGTTTTCTTTGCAATCATCCTATGTTGACTAATTTTTCCTTTCTTCCTCTCCTCACTATAAAAGATGGATTAAATTTGAAGAAGACGTTGAGGAGAATGGAGAACGTTGGTCTAAACCTCATGTAGCAACACTACCTTTATTCTCTTTATTTGAATTACGTAGCTGTTTAGCAAGTGGGGTTATTATGCTGAACTTGGAAAGCTACACAATGGAACAAATTGCAGGTAAATTGAATGCTATGGATTTTTTACTAAGGTTCATGTATTTCCATGCAATGAAGAAGGTAAAGCCAGACTGTTTTGTGCACAGGACCGTTAATTATTATCATTGATGCTTGCGTAATTGAAGATTCTTTTATGGCATTCGAAATACCACTAGGAAAACCCTTGATTTTACATACTGACCGGCATAATAAAAAACAAGCCTGTATCAGTTATGCTGCTAGGCCGCAACTTTATAGTCTAAGTACTCAGCTCGTTTATGACGGAGAAAATCAACGTAGTAACTTGGTAGAAGTATATCGGATGAAGCTGCCACACTTCACAGCAGCATGTAAAATAACAAGTGGATAGAAAATACTGACATCACAGCAGACAAAGCTTTGTGAGAGAATAAATAATTTAAAGACAAAGGCTAGTGTAAATATCCAAGCTTTAGAAGATGTCAAGGAGTGAATACATCTGCTCCACCGTGCATGATTATCAGTCATTTCACCAAGAGTCGTCAACCACCGATTCCTATCGTTTGGGGCACCCCAACCAGGCATTCTACATTTCCCCATACCGCTCAGGCCAAGAATCAGAGACTTCATCGACTGGTGCTACTTTTTCATCTGACCACCCTGAACCCTCTTCCAACGTCATCCGACTTCCTTTAGCATGGTACATCAAGGTGGGTGGTGTTTCAGCATGCGTAACACACATCCAAGCCATCTCAGTCTTTGAAGGATCACAGCCTCCTCAACCGACTAACCTGTCTTGCCTAGTACCTTTCGCCTGACCCCAACATTGCTCACACGGTGATTCCTTCCACAAAGCGCTTGCAATGCAATGAAGACACCTGCGGTCAAAAAACTGTAATCTCTTTATATCTTCTGCTTGCAATATCCATGCCTCACAACTGTATGGCAGGACAGAACGAACTACAGTGCAGTATGCTCATCTTTTGATAGGTAGTCCGATATCTCACCAGTTGGCTCTAGAGGTGACACAAGCTGGCGAATGCCAAACGGGTATTCTCTATCTGAGCTGAGATGTCGTCCGTAACCAGCCCATTCATGCTGGTTTAACTGCCAAAGTAAGCGAAGTGGTCGATGCATTCCACCACTTCACTCCCTATCCTTAAACTTGTTCCCAACCAGTCCTGGAACAGTATTTTACATTGGACAAATGGGAAACGCATGGGTTCAGAACACTGCACAGGCTTAGTAGTTCCTGTCAGCATGATCCCAGCTGGATAGTATATCCTCCTAACAGCGTTAAGTTAGATCAATATCCTGTAGTTGGCATTTTGGTGACGCAACTCAGCTTTTGATGTTCAGCAGCCGTTGCTGCGTACAATGAAGTAAAGATTCATTCCGGTTTATGATAGAAATAAATAGGAAAGCCACGTAAGCGCATAACTTCAAATTGCTATACTTCACAATACCAATGAGGGACAAAGTGAACATAATCTGGATAATATTAAAACAGGTAGAAGTGGTTATGACGGAAGAGAGAGAGAGAGAAAGATTCAGATTTTCAAAGACGATAAGGAGTGGATGGACCAAAGGCAATGCAGTTGAATTTGGCGTCATTTCACCGAAATTCTCCATCCGTTTATTACCAACTTCTTGACAGTTTTAACCAAAACAGACTATACCTCCCTACACAACTCAGGGCAGTGAGCAAAGACTTCATGAACTAAATAATATTGTTCTATTCACCAGTGACTTCAAAACATAAACTCGGCACCGTTTTGTCTCGACCCATGATACTACATTTCGCATCACTATAGCTGGAAAGAATCAACAGTTGAAAGACAAGACAATAGAATTCGCTCTACTTGGAAAAAAATATTTAGGAGATAAGAAGAACAAAGTGAGAAGGAAGATAATAAATGTGTGGTAGCACAATGTTGTATATGACTCAAAAGAGGATAACGGCATGTATGCATGTATACTGTTGCAACCTCTTTAACAATAGGACCCAACATTCTCCAACTATCATTTCATATCATCTCGTAAACTTCAAATAGGATGTTTACTTGCAGACGCAAAGTCTTCACAGTTCTTACAGAATACAACTGCTTCTAAGGTCAGAGTGGGTTTTAAGTGAACACATATACCTAACACTTATAACACTGGAATATTATATCATCCATATGACAGAGCTTTATGATTTACATCCACTGACTTTTAACGATAATATATGTAGTGACCGGTAAGACTTAAGAATCCTGAACTCGAACTCAACTGTGATCAATTATTGAGGAATCAAAATATTAGCCGAAGTGACTGATATAATTCAATACATAATAGTTTTTATGAAAACATGTATCATTATATCACATCCATGCGAATTTAACGTCTCAGTAAATAAGATAATTCTGCAGAACGTTGATTCAGCATCCTCGATCCTTACTTCCTTTCCTCTTTCGTGTTTTCGAAAATCAGCATTATCATAACATCATAAATTGATTGATGGCAGTAATTGTGCATTAGTTTGTTTTATTTTAGTTTCGTTGTTTATCGAAATCACTTAGGCTTTCAAAAGTTGTTAGTGAACCGCTTTCTGTGATATTTCATGATATGACTTGAAAAATGTACATCCTATCAAGTGTGTGCGTGTGTGTGTACCAGGTCATTCATTCATAGTACCAGTCAGTGCATACATATACCATCAGAAATTCGTTTACGAGGTATAAATTATAAACTTATTAAATATTTGTTCACTCTGGACAAATCAATGTCTCACTCTGTCCACATTTTATGATAATTGATGAAATTTAGGATTTTATGTGTGTGTGTGTGTGTGTGTGTGTTTATCTCTTCGTTTACGCCATTTTGAGCAGTTGCTAAGTGTATTTAGTGCTCATAATACAGGCACAGCTCATAGTATAGTTTAAAAATCCTGTAAAAGGTGAATGAATTACAGAAAAATTGCTCACACATCGTCGTTGAGTGTCAACAGCAGGGAAAACAAGATTTGATTGCGGACATTGTTTTTTTTCGATCTCAGGAAATTCTTTAACGTTACAAACACTGACAGTGAAGACTTGTGATCAGATAACTTTAAACAACACTAATCAACCTCCCTCTGTCTCTGTGATGAAGCATGTTTCTGAAAGAGACGCTCTATGCCAGGCTCTACTATCCACTGTGGTTCTCCGCGTGTCAAATGTCTATATAGAGTGATACTAAAAGTGGTTAGCAGAAAATCAGTCTTCCCAGACTAGTTCAATAACCACCCCAGTTATGAAAGTACGGTGACTAACTGAAAATGCTGTTCATTAAGTCTAAGAATCTTGAAAAGAGCATGCAAGGTAAGTTGGCAAACCCTGTAATCACCCTTATCTGGGATGCTGACATTAACACTTATTTCAGTCTTTTTTGAAACTTAAACAATATTATGATACTTTAGATCACAAACTAACTTCCTCTAGTGTTGAATCACCGAGGCTTCCTTCGAATTAGTTACCTCCATCAAGCCAGTGATTCGAACCATAATCCAGTATTCACCAGTGTGTGTTCAGGGAGATGAATCCCCAAAGTGACACATCGTAAAAACTTGACCTACAACGTTAGTCACATTGAGAAATATACGTTTCGTTGACATTAATGGACAAAGAAATGTAATGCAGCCATCATGTGCTGTACTGGACCGATTATATGGTATACCTATTGTATGAAGAGGAGGGCTAGCGGTGTTGTCTGGTTCTTCAAAACTTTGATGAATAAATTAAGTTTCATGTACATCATTGAATATTTGACATTTGGTTTTCTGAACTATTGAGATGTAAATCGAGTAGTATTTTGAAGTGAATGAACTTTTAAAATGTCAACTATTATATATTTAAAAAGCGAACATTGACTTTAACATGACTACTACTGCCTCAGTCAGGTTTCATACAACATATCTGTGAAGGGATTCACAAAGTTATATCAGATGAAACTGACTATTATGTCTGTTAAGCAAACGCATTATTTTGTTATATTGATGTTAGTGACTAGCACAGGAATCCAGGATGTGCGTTTCGTCCTCTTGTGATAACCACAGAGGAATCAGCCAGACGAACATAGTGTCTAAGATTCTAGGTCCCGTAACTCTTCGACGCCTGAGTGGTGCTCGCGGACAGCAAGCCTGAGAAAACTAGGCAGGCCTTAGACCCGGCTGTGGGTGTATACACCAAATATTCACACTGAGCCTTGCTCTGGAACACAGTCACGCTTACCAACGCGCGATAATAGTTATATTTCTCGACATTCGACTCCTTTGGTCGAGAAGTCTTGGGGCAATGTCTCTCACTGAAAGGCCGTGCCGAGTAAGTACATCACCTTATTGAAGGCTCTCTACTCGAACACTTGTGGGTGTGTTCGAGCCTATGGTGAGATATCCGGGAAGCTGTACTCGTCGAGTGTTGTCCATCAAGGCTGCCCACTGTCTCCATTCTTATTCAATTTTATCATAGATATTCTTATGGAGGTCTCTCTCTCGTCACCTGACTACACAGAGGCTGACCTAATCGTGGGAGAATTTTCGTTAGACCTAGAATATGCAGATGACGTAGTCCTGTTAAGATGCTAACAAGATGCAGAGTCTTCTGGAGACATTGAGTGGAAATTTGAGAATGTTTGGGATGCGTTTCTCACCACCCAAATGCAAATTGTTGCTCCAGGACTGGTCTTCCACGATGCCTCGGCTAACAATAGAGAGTGTAGTGATTGTGTCGACCACTTCACTTACCTGGGAAGCAGGATGAACCCTGGTGGCTCAATGGTCGATGAGATCTCTGCACAAATACAAAAGGCTCGGCTGGCTTTTGCCAACTTAAGCCATGTATGGCGCTGCCGTGATATCCGATTATCTATTAAGGGTCGCGTGTACTGGACAGCAATCCGGTCTGTTCTACTGTATGGCTGTGAAACATGACCATTGAGGGTGGATGTTGTAAGACCCCAGTTTTGTATAAAACAAAACATTGTTATTGATCTGAACATTTTGACGTGTCATTCCCATACCATTTTTTACGGTATGACTAGCAGTCTGTTTCCTGCCCCCATTGTAATGTAAATCGCTGATTGGTTAACCTCACTCTTACTACGCCTGTGCCTCAAATTGAGGACAAGGTCATTTTTCATGTGTGTACTTATTCACGTGTTTTGGGATTGATTATCATGTATTCTCGGAGTAATAAACTCTCCCGTCATCCAGCTTCGGTCTTCTCTCTATTCGTCCCAGGGTTGCAATCAGTGGCTCTTGCGTACTAAGTTAGCTGTTAACTAAGCGTGCGTATTATATTCTTTCGGAATATGTAACTATTAGCGTCCGAAAATATAACAGTGAGAGACATGAGAAGTCTTTAGGTGTTTGACCACCGTTGCCTCCGTAGTATAGGCCGTGTTTCGTGGTGTCACCATGTGAGTAACGCAGAAGTCAGGTGTAGAGTTTTGGTGAGAAGAGGTAAGATAGTTGACACGGTTGTGAACCTTGATCGACTGAGATGGTTGGGACACGTGTTACGTATGCCTAGCCACTGTCTGCCTGGTCACACAATGTTGGCCGAAGTGGGTTCAGACTGGAAGAAGCCCTAGGTGGCCAGACTGAAATATGGCATCAATGTATGAAGTCTTTGACTGTTGATTTGAACCAGATGGAGCGACACAGACAGGGTGGTTGTGGTTCGAGGGCAAGAGGAACCAGCGGTTGGAGACTAACTGTAGGGGATGTGGGTCAGAACGGATGTCAGTGGTGCAGATGTATACACACATTATTCTCATCTTAACGCTTTGCCGAATCTCACCATTTTCTCATTCTTCTTTTCTCTCTTCTCGTACTTTATATTTCTTTTGACTGAATTCCCTTTTCTTCATCTTCCACTTCACTGCCTTTTTATTTGATGTACTGATACGAGTTGTGGCAACTCGGACCGTTACTCAGTACCACCCGGTCCTATGTCAATAGATGATAATGATGTTCCATTTTATTTGGGACTCATCAGCTGAATGTACCTGCACCCGTTAGTGTTGCTGTTCCCACTGAGGCTGAAACCCGATAATCTTCGCTTCAAACACCAGAGCATTATCCAATAAGCCACTGCGGCTTAGTGTATAATGTTGTAGCGTATCAATACAGCATTATCTTCTGCTTGACCTTTTTTAGCAGTGAAATAGGCTAGTCGTCGCGGTCTTCGTCATAGCATGACGTAATCAAGCATTACTAGTTTTTTGCTAATTACCTTCATTATTCACACAGACTGTTATTTATTCTTTCTTTCTCCTTTTATTCTAGACTTAGTGTTGAATTTGTTAGTTGCTGAAGAACGCATACCATTGGAACAAAGAGATTGTCTATTCGATGTGTTACTCCGTCGACATCTTCACCTGCATGAACGACTTCGACCAAAGCTTATCGGTCGAAGTGCAACAAATCTTCCATTGATCCGATCATTAGCAGATATTGGTAAGAGACACTCGGCTAAGGATGTTGAAAAAGGTGAATATAGCATAGTTTTTACTTTGTTCCAGTATTTCAAGGTGTTTAATTTATGCAAAGAAATTGTTAGATTTCAAATGTTCTCTGGATAATTTATTCCTTCAGGTTGTATTATTCCTAAAAGATAACAATTTGGCCAGTGAGCGCTAAGAGAAAAGACAGCTATTATTTTAATGCGATGATGTAATGATGCAATATTAGTATTGATTGTAGTCAAATATAATATTGACCGATTTCTATAGCAATGTGGTTACAAAGCTAGGAGGTTCACTATCGCGGTTCTTTGTTAATTGATGTTATGGATTAAAGGCAGTCGGGAGGGAGCTTTACTTGACACCGGTTTCGTGCTTATTGGCAATCTGACTGTGGCACTGGGAATTTTAGTTTTGAATGTCTAAAGGGACATCAGTTCTAGTGAGGTTGCAGAAAAGCCTTGCTAAATAGGTGGGGCTTTCTACCGACTACCTCTAACTACTAAACATCAATCACAAGTGACTAGTTCGATCAACTACAAAAAGTAAGTTGGTAGTGAATTTTGAACTCTGTTTTGATACAAAACTGTTTTTGTGCACTGGATTTTGACGTCTTAAATGGTGTCACAAACAGGTCACCCGTTGTGGTCTGAACATGTTTTTGATTTCTAACGGAAACCATGGCGAATCTTTGTAACTGGGTCATTCTCACCTAGATTTGTGTACTTTGCGTAGACCTGATTTGATTTTAATTTTAATCTACTCAACCCGTTGATTGAAGATATAATCACTTCCTGATTTTTGTTATCTTATTGTTTAAACTGTTGGTATTGTAGAATTAATTAATATTTTTCGGCTGAAAATATACAGCACTTTGGTAGCCTAGGACTCGTTGCCAATTTCCAACTCGACGAGTGAACATATCTTCAAAGATGTATTCACTGGCTACATGTAGCCAAATGTCAGTGTTAATGAGATTTCCGTCATCGCTTCTGAACTGGAGACACATGGGTCATAAGAAATCGACTGAATGAATCTTTCCAGTCTTTTTTTAATTTAGTAATCAGACTATTTAACAGAATGGTGAGTACCGTTGTAGAGTTACCTGTTTCATCGTAAACCGTCAAAATGTCATCGTTTTGACTAATTGTCTTATTGCTAATATCTGAGCTGCATAATGCGGCAACCAGCTAGCTGACTTTTAGTTTTTCTTTTCACCACTGAGTGTGTGTGTGTGTGTTTATTTGCTTAATGTTCCTATGGGTAAAAACAAATAGCCTTTACCAACAGAATATTCACAGGGCATGGTTTTGGATGCTTCCTAGCACGACTGTCAAACCGTGTATGCAAACCAACCGATAAACGTATTATCGAGGATACTGTCTTTCTAAACAACACAGTGCCGACAAAATCTATGATATATAAAGTGAAATCAAGTTGATTGGAGAGATTTTGTCTACGTCTATGTACAACAGAAACCATTGTTCTCTTGGTCACTTCAAAAATTTGATCCATATCATTTATTTATGCCTACTGAGGTCTAGGCAGCCAGCCCTCAGACAATAGGTGTGACTTATTGCCTACTGCACGACTGTGCACATGATTGCTGGTTGCATTTCGGTTCGATTGGACTAGTTATTGTTGATTTTTATTACAGTGAGATGGCGAACAATACTATGACATTCCACATCAGTTTTTTCCCGCATTATGTATAGTCAGAACTGATACCGTTCCAACTAACGGATAACTTTGCCGACACATTTTGTCCACTATCGTATCATAAAAGCTTTCTGTAGCTTGTTTTTATAGTTCTATCACATCTTATTCTTTGGTGATATTAGAAGCTGCGCGATATCCCTGGAGATGGCAGTTGAGTGATTTATAATGCATATCCTGGGCGTTGTCCCCTAACTATGTTGGTCTTCAGGACTATTACCATGTCATACACTATCCCCCTCCCAAATGCTTATTTTAATGAAGAGTATCATTTTAAATTCAGCTCAGATTTTTGTGCTTTCATGAAGTAGTTAACTTGGAGGTTATTCTGACAAAGAATTGCAATCTATTGTAGCATCCAAGTTCGATTCCCATATTCCTTGAAATTTTTTGCATTACTTGAATTGGCCTCCATTGCGTAAGGAATTTACCTACCTAGCACTTAGTGCTTAGCACTGACCGAAGTCTGTCAATACGCCTTGGTGATGAATGGGCCAATAAACACGAAACTTTGATCAAACAGGGCCTCCTGCCGATTAACTCCAGCCATCTAACATGTTTTCAGTTCCTGTAATCGAATGCTTGAACATTCAGTGGCGGCCATGTCAATCTTCTTCCTCAAATTACTTCATTCTTTATCTTTCTCATTGCGATTTTCTTAACTGATAATTTTTATTCAGCTGGTGAAGTACCGTATCATACATCATTGGCTAAAATGCCCACACTGACTGGAATGGATACTCTAGATCCTGCGACTGCTGCCCATATTGCAGCTCATGTACAAGCACAAGTTTCTGGACACTCTGAAGTTATGTCCGGCAGTTTACAAGGAAAAGTGAGTTAAATGAGATACTAGGATTATAATGTATTCATGTATTTATATTTATCTGTTTTCTTTTACTATTGTTATATTTATTATTTATTTTAACCTTGGGTTCCAAGTAGAACATAGGGCTTCATTAGCACACCTCCATTGCACTCTGTTCTCTGCAGTCTTTTGAACCTCACTCCGCCACTGCCCACAAGCTTTCATTTCTTCCTCACACCATCTCCTTCATATCACTCTCAGCTGGGACGCCCAATTTGCCGTTTCCCCTTTGGATTCCACTCGAGGGCCTGGCCTGGCGCGTGATGTCCCCAGTCGGCCTTTTCAGTGTATGTCAAATCCATCTCCACTTTCTTCTTCTTCTTCATATTTGTTGGGTGATCGGTTCTTGGTTGGTTCGTTGCCAGACAGCCAGAGTTCCTTGTTGCTTATTCCAATTATTCTGGTTATCTGATGTGATATTCAGTATCGAGTCAGCGTAGGTGGCAGCTGTTCATGTATGTCTGTAGTCTGTTGAAAACGCTTTTAGTAGCGCGCTAAGTCTCTCAACCATATAGAAGCAGTGACTTGACTGACTTAGTGTTGGAAATCCCAATCTTGTTCCACACGTTGAGTGCAGTAGATCTCCACAGTGATTTCAGGTTATTGAAGATCTATCTTGCTGTCTTTCTGACCGTGGCTTTGACATCCTCGTCTGTGCCGCCTGTAGTTGAAACTATCCTGCCTAGGAAGGTAGGTGGAAGAGACAACTTCCTTTAGGTTTGCCCCGTTCATGGTGATCGGCGCTTGGCGTTGATGTTGCTAGTTGGGCATCTTCATCACCTCTGTCTTCTCTACGTTCACCTGAATCCCGTCTTCTCTGCTTTACCTCTTCTGTCAACTTGTTAGTTTTAGCCTGTAGATCTTCGAGTTTGTGCGAGATTGTGCTAAATAAATCATCATCGGCAAAATCCAAATATTCTAGGCTCTTTTCATCGGTCAAGCAGCGTATGCCCATCTTCTCGCTTCTCACAGTTTGCTGTATGATGCAGTCTACCACAATCATGAAGATCATCGGTGATAGTAGACAGCCTTGTCCTACTCCTGTCTTCACTTCAGAGGCGTCACTGAGATTTCCATTGCAGATCACTTGACATGTGGCGTCTTCATATAGTTGTTGAGTGAGGTTGATAAAAATTTGTGGCACTCCGTAATGTTGAAGTAGCTGCCAAATTACTTCTCGGTCGACGCTGTCGAAAGCCTTTTCAAAGTCGATAAAGCCGAGGTAGATAGTTGACTGCCACTCTACACTTTGTTCAGTAATGATGCGTAGCGTTACAATTTGATCCGCACATGATTTGTACTTCCTGAATCCAGCCAGCCTGTTCCGGTCGTAGTTTTGAATCCAGCTCATCCTTTAGTCTCTCCAGTATGATGTGGCATAATATTTTGTTTGGAGTGGACAGAGGTGGAGCATGATTCCGTGCCAGTTCTTGCAAGGGCTTGTGTCTCCCTTCTTTGGGATTTTGACAAGGTGGCCCTTCTTCCAATCGGCAGGTACCTTTCCTTCCTTCCTCCCAAACCTTCAGCAATAATAATGTAAGCATGTCCGCTGTTGTCTCTGCGTGTTTTCAGTGCTTCTGCTGGAATTCCATCTGGTCCTGTTGTTTTCCCGAATTTCAGCAGTTTTATAGCATTCAGGACTTCTGCTTCTGTTGGAGGGCCTGTGTTAACTTGTAGTTCTGCCGTTGCTGATGGTATTTCCGAGCAACTTGCAGATGGTGGTCGATTGAAGTGTTTTTTTGAAGTGGTCACCCTATCGTTTCCTTTGTTTCTACGCTTTGGTAACTAAGTTTCCTTCACTATCTTTCATTGGTTTCATCTGTGTTGATCTCTTTCCTCCCAGATAATAAGCTGGTTATTTGATATAGTGTTGTCAGGTCTCTCATACCTGCAGCCTGTTCTGCTTCACTTGCCAAAGTATCGTAGAATTGTCTTTTGTCTTTGTGCGCACTCTTCTTCACTTCCTTGTCCAGTGTTTTATACATTGTGCTCAGTTCCTCTTTTCATTGTTCATCCGTGCACTGCACTGGTTCATCTTCTGCTTTACCATCCTCCTCTCCTCTCCTCTCCTCTCTTCTATCAGCTTCCATGTATTCATCGAGATCCATTCTTTATCTTCTTTCTTCTTCCTTCCTAACACGGTTATGCAGGTTTCTTTCCACATCTCTTTCAAAGAGTTCCATTGTTCATCCACGTTCGATCCTTCAGGGATGTTGCTCAATGTCTCCAATTTTGTTCTGGTGGCTGACGTGGAGATGTCGTTTGTAGTTTCGTCCTCCAGTTTCTGTTCAACTTGAACTGTGGTCTATCGGCAACTTCTTTGAAGACTTTCAACTTGATTTTGAAGGTTCCTTGCACTAGATATTGAGTGGTGTGAACCTACATCTGCTCCCCTTCTTGATCTGATATTGTGTCCAGTAGGCTGGCTGCGTCTCCACTTTCTTCACATTGAGATGAAGTCAATCTGATTTTTAGTGTCTATCTGATGAAATTAAATCCATGTCGCTTTGTGAATGTCCTTGTGTTTGTACACACTGCCTCCAATCACCGAGTCGTTGAATGCGCAGAAGTCTGCAAACAGTTCTCGTTTTTCATTCATTTCACAAACGAGTACTTCTCGACTCATGATTGGTTCTCTTCCTGTGCTGTCTGCTCCCAGTTTAGCATTCATGTCACCCCACCCATTAGAATTTTGATGTTGCCAACTCGGATAGGGTTCTTGTCCAGTACTGATTGCAGTTGTCTATAGAATTCCTCCTTCTTCTCTTGGTCCGCGTCTGCATTATTTGTTGTTGCGTAGCCCAGTATTGTATGATTGTGACTTTCCTTCCTTTTGAGTTGAACCTTGATGTCATGATCCTGAAGGAGGAGATTGGTTCCCACTGCATGACAGACTTCGATGCTTCTGAAGGTGACATCATGATAGCCACTCGAATACTCGGTGTGCTTGTAATTGTCGTCTGGATGAAAATATCGGAATAGATTATTGACTCTCCAGTTGACGGTTGGGAGAGTCTACTTCCATTCCATCTGATTTCGCAGATTCCTGGCACTTCTATGCCATACCTCCTCATCTCTTTTGCAATCTGGGCAGTCTTAGTAGGCTCGTGCATGGTGCGGACATTCTATGTCCCCATGTTTACATTCGCTTTCATCGAGAGAAGAGAAGACACTTCGGCCGATTGGCTTCCTGAAGGCTTTCACCAAATGGCGTGATTTCTTCTCTCCGATTCCAACGAGGAATAAGTTTGTTTTTGTTTTTTATAATTTCTTTGTGCTTTGAAGTTTCTTTAGCGGTAAGATTGGTATTTTGGGGTAGGGTTGCTAGCCCTATGCCCAACCTTCCCTTTTTACCCGGGCTTAGGACCGGCTGGTAACTAGTGAAACTGGTTACCCGGACGAGGTTTCTTTTACTATACTGTAGGCTAATAATAGTCAGTAGATAGATGAGCAGGCTGACGTGAATTTAAAGTACTTTCTGATTATTTTTGTTCTTTCAGCAACTTGATACATTTCTTTTACGTTATCACGATAAGGAGAACCACACGAATAAGTAATATACCAGTGTATGAAATAGTGGAAATAATAGAGATTTAGTCAGTCAACATCAAAGTGGGACTTGGAAATTTTGCATTATAGTCCAAGTTGGCACACTTTACATGAAGATACACAAGGGTGAAAACACGAAAGGTCGAGGAATGGAAGTGATGTTGCAGTAGATAGTCTTAGAAAATCTTAAGAAGCTATGAATGCGGAGTAAAACTACTGGTGTTGATACGAGGGTTAAGATGAAGATAATATGTGGATGGGTCTCCGCCAGTGAGATCAATCCTGAGCCATATATATCACGTGAAGTCTCCAACCACCGATTTCGGTTCTCACATGGGCCGCAACCTGGAAGTTTATATTTCCGTACATGATTCAGATGAATCTTCAAAGACTTCACGGAGTGATACCATGTTTTTATCTGGTCACCTGTAACCTTTTTCAGCCTAAACTTACTTCGCTTAGCATTGCACTGCACATCAAGGTAAACGGGGAGCAGACAGGTGTAACCATATATCTCAGTCACATCAATCATTGAAGGTTCACAACTTCACCAACTAAATTTACTTCTCTCTATCCAAGACTCTGCGCTTAACCTCTACATTATTAACACGGTGGCGGCTTCTAAACTTAGGACTTCTCATGCTCTCTATCTTTAGTTTTTCATGTTTCACAGCCATATGGTAGAAGAAGATAGAAATTTCAGAGTGCGGGTAGGGTTGGATTTGTCTGTATCACATAAATTGCACTCACTATAGTTCTACGCCATGCTAACACACATCTGTAGAATGAACATACCTAACGAATATTTTAACCGTTTTCATACCTCAAATTCCCCTATGTCGCTAAATGATTTATATGCCTTAGGTGATATCCTTAGATTGATTCATAAGTATTATTAATTCCAGTTAAGCTGCTGTTTAACTTCCTGTAATGTAGACCGTTTTTTATTCATACGTACGCAAAATCACAAGATGTATATGAAATTAACATCATACTTCAAAAGTGGTGACGATTAAATACTTGTATAGGAAAAGAAGGTAAAAAAAGGAGGAACGATTGATTTTTGCCGAAATACATTGTAAGAAAAAAATGTCAATGGTAAAATAATTGTGGTTATGTCTATAAAGTAGGCTATGTTCTATGGAGGTCAAATAGACTGTACTGATATATGAATAAGCATGAAATATTAGCCCAAACGTTAATTTAAGTGAACAATTTTTGTTATTTTCAATTCAGGTTAGTATCAGTTGGAAGATTATTAAAACCGCTGAGAGTATTATTGGACACTTGTTTACGTCCTCGTTTGAGACAGTGCATCACCAAACAATCCTATTTATTGTGTCAGTCAAGTTCAAAACTAACAACTCTTCTCCGTAGAGCCGTGAATTCACATTGATATACAGTCTCAGACTGGGAACAAGCATATGTCCGGTACTCCTCTTTCTACTTTTAAGTCAATCAATTTCCCACAAACGTTTTCCAAATGAATAATTTACTGGTCATAGCTAGAAAGCAAAAACAAAATAGAATCTTGCACAAGTTATCACATTATACAAAGTTTATCGTACATACCAGCTGGTGTTCCCCCGTCTTTCCTTGGCTCACTCCGTCTCTATTCTCCTCTAACCAGTCAACTATGTAAATACATATTAGAAAACTGGATATACAAAGTACACTCCAATGGTACCACTACTAGTGCTACTACCACCTCTACTACATTGATTTAATATGAAATGAACATTTTCATAGGGTCAGACATTTAGCTGTACGCAAAATTATATTCACTGTATGTGTATGTATATTTGACATACATAATCCTGCTATAGAATAACCTTAGTAGTTAGTTTTCCGCGTGTGCGTTGTGTACATGCAGATTTCCTCCTCTCTCTATACACCCTTATTGTCTTTGTTACTTATCTTTCCTCCTGGTTTCTTTTTATTTTCTCGCCTATGTGCGTCATACACATATTAGTGTCTATTTAAAGTGCATATCTTTTTGTATAGAGTAGGCAACGGCTACTTTTTTATTTCCCCCTTTGAGTACAATCGTTGTTATTCTCTTTGGTCGATAGTTTTAGTCTATTACCATGAAATCTATTCTTCAAAAACTGGATATTAGTTAAGCTGTCATTGAAAATCAATAGTGTTTCAGACAATTTTTTTAAAATTTACCCCGGGAATCGAACTGAAAACTTTTTCACTCTCTGATGAAGATATTGGACGCTAAGCGCTTCAGCCTACTGAGCATCACGTGCTCATCCCCAGTAGAAGTTATTCCTCATCACAAACTGAATAAAGGTGGTTTTGTTAGGCAGTTTATTCTAATTCAGCGATGTTGCAGTTGACGCTTTTGTAAATTGATTGTGTAACAATCATCAGTGTGAGTATACTGATGAAAAGTTCCAAAAATTAATCTGTAAGTTTAACCTTACCACTTTGGGATTGTCAATAGTCAATCAGTTGATGTTGACTCTCGACGGGAACCCCTGTCAGTTTCATCAGAAATTCGTTATTGCCTACTCTTTTGAGTATTTCTATGCTATACAAACGACTGAGTTGTATTATTTGTAGGAGATTAACTGTGGGACTAACAGACGAATGCATGTCTTTGGGTAAACTGCATTTACCTGACCTGGTTAGGTGATATTCAACATTTGGATTACAGATTCCAACCCCTTCAGTCTACTTTAATCGAGACCTTCGAGTAACTGAATAACCTGGAAAACAAAATTCTATCTGGCTACTAAATGTGCATTTTGCCGATAATATTTCTTTCAAATAGTTTAAACTTCTGTCATTGCATATCTAGTAAGGTGGCTTTATGTGTTTTGCAGACCTCTTTCAGTTTAAATATTTTCACTAAGCTTGATTTTCAAATTCTTTCTCCTCCTATACACCTTTGTCTACTTTGACCATCACTCTTTCGGTATCCGCTTGTTCATTGCATGTTGGTATGAAGTGTGTCAACTTGAAGGGTATACACTTCTATGTAAGGTTCTACGCTGACTTTGGCTGTCTGCATGTTGCTTTTTAGTCCTCATAAGATGTTGAAATTTTAAACTTACAAATGGGAAGTCATTAAGCGTCTTTTTTTCATATTTACCTTCATGTTTATATAAAAATTACCAGCTTGTAATCCTTTTTTTGTTTCCGCGTTTTTTAAAAATTTATTTACTATTTACTTCATTGCCGGACGTGATCATTGTCGTTTAGTATGATCTACATTTCCTGAAAAAAATTGCTCCTGGTTCAGAGACATCAAATATACTAGTCGGTGAAACCACCTTTTTGACATCTCAACTAACTGTCTTCATTCGTTTAAAAGAAGCTGTTCTACTTGGTGATCTTACAGAAGTACCTGTACCGACGAGATTTTTATTCATTCATTTGGGTAGCATGGGTAATGCAGCTAAATATCGTGAAATCGGTCGTTCAATGGGTGTACTCATGTCGGATGAAGTAAGCTGGAATATTCTCTCTCTTTTTTTATAAGTATCATCATTACGTCTAATCTCAGTAGATATAATGATATTTTTGGAGAATGCCTGACATTAAGACACAAATTATGGACGAGGACAGCAAAGTTACCATTTTATTTCATTATTATCTATCAGTTAGGTAGGTCACGTATGGCTGACTACATTTTGCATCAACATAATTTTATAATTTCCATCAGTTTTTCTTTCTCGCTACTTTCAAATCCATAGTCTAAGTTTGTTTTGTTTAATCTCATCTGGCATACAGTTGCTCACTTCTTACACCATATTTAGATATTGGGGACCGTGTTTTCGGTTTTATTTGAACCCTTACACATTTTAAGAAGTTAGGGGGTATGTCTTGATGTTAGTGTGTAGATTTCTAACCACTGCTTCATTCATTCATTCTGGCAAGCAAAATATCATCCGGTCTGTTTCATCCTGTGGTCAGTATTGTATAGGTTAGTCAGGCATAACTTACATATTTGCGCAAGAGTTGCATACGCCCGAGCTTCCCTAGGCAAGATTAGGTCCTGTCAAATTACTCTATGTACTAATTTCCCTTCATTAACTTCAAAGGAGCAAGAACAATACTTGGACCAGAATAAAATGAATTCATTTTATATTATCGGTATTTTGCCAACCGCTTATAACTTGGAATATCAAAATGTATAGTTTTACTGAAAATTGAACATAGTTTAATCCACTGGCAGAAAAAATCCCATTTTAGGTTGGTATTCATCATAAGATAACATCAGTTGGAGAAGCGGTGAAAGCCTGGAGGCACTGGATAGCTTTTTCGTCGTACTATAGGACTCCTCAGCAGTGCGCACCCATGACCTCGCCAGGGATCGAAACCAGAACCTTCACGTTCTGCAGCCAGCACATTACCATTAAGCCAGTGGGTCGGAATCCAGTGGTCCATATTTTCTACTTCTGTCAGTTCATGATATAGCGCCACCTCCATCCAATACCACCGTTGAGTAACTGTCCTCATGTTCGACTTGGTTGGCTCCACTGGTCACGACCTCTGGTTGGAACTTAAGGTATCACCTCCCACAGCTAGTCACCGATGAGCTGTCCAATGGGTCCAAGTTTCCAAAGTTCCTCCACCTGATGTCAGTCCATGATGAATAACAACCTGAAATCAATAAATCCGAACAAACCTCAAAATTGAATCCCGCTTTACTCTGTTCATTAGAAATATCACCCAGTAGAACAGTATTATTTACTTGATAACAACGTCTCAGACATAATTTATTGTCCATATTCCTGTCACCTGATATGAATGTGGACGATAAATAAAATTGTTCCGCTGTGTGACACGTCTAGTAAACAGACAAAAATGCAATTACAACCTACCACAGTGCCCAAGTTTTTACTTCTATATTGAGAAAATAGAATAATATGGGTTAGTAGGTAAGATCGATTAAAAAAGCCGTTGCGTAGTGGTAAACCATGATACCGAATCCAAAAATGGTGAATAACAAGTTTACTAAAACACCATAGTTGGACAGACGATGCAGTTGATGTCTGTCAAACAGATGACGCTATTAACAGCGCAAACATTGAAGGGTTTAAAAAGTAGGATTACATAGATAAATAAGTCATTTTTATAACTATTTGGTGATATACTTGTAATACTCCGTTGTAAAAGAAGTGGATATCGTGCTTGGGCGTTTGAAGCGAAGAGTACTGGGTTCGAACCTCAGTGCGAACAACACCACTGACTGGGGTGTAAGTAAATTTAGATGACGAGTCCCAAATAGAACTAAACGCGCATCCTGGATTACTCTGCTTGTCAAAACCAAGTCAATTACCAGAATAAGTCATTTGCTAAAGAGATCGGTGAACAGACGTGTAGGTCATTTTCTCAGATATCAGCATCATACGTGACAAGGCTTCTTTCTCGTGAAGGTTGTTTATTTCTGTGATTTCAACGACCGAAGGTTAGTAAATAGTCATCATTTTCCATAGTGCACTTGTTAAATTGTACCAATTGAAATTAGCATCTGAGAGATAAAACTGATCTGCCATCCTCATATGCGTTGACAAACAAAAAGTGATCATCAGTGGAGGGAGTAAAAGAGCCTACCTGTTTTACAGTGTTTTTACAGTTATTTGTATTGATCATTCAAAAAAACTTGGGTTTTTTTCTCTAACATTGGTTGAAAGCTTAGTTTTTATCAGTGTTCTCACTCATCTGTCGTTTGAATAATCCAAGTCGACTAAAGGACTTCTGATTGTCAAGTAGAGTTTTAAGCTTCTAATCATTTACTGGTTAGCAAAACACTAAATTTATGCTTTACTCACTTTAGTCGACACAATCAAAATACACTGAGTATGAATATATTTGGTTATGTCATACACTTACTCTGTAATCCGTTGAGTATAGGATGGGATACCTTATCCTTGGGTTCTCAAGCATTTTGATGCTCTGTGTGTTTGCTTACCAGTGAACTGATCTGTTACTCAAACATTATTACAAACAACACATACGCACACTAACTATGGCTATAGGTGACTGCAAATGCTAGACATGACGGTTTGCTTGCCTTAACATGAAAATATCCGTCCTTCTACTAACGACTTTACAGTTGATATTATTTACTATTTTATTAGTATCCTAAACTAAGTACATCAATAGTGTTCAACTTTTTTTTGTTGCTTCAATTATCTAGGTTTTTCATGATGTTGCTTACAAGGCGAGATCTAAAACTGATTTATTAGCCGGTTTAGATGAATTTTTGAGTGCAGCAACTGTTTTACCACCTGGTGAATGGGATCCATCAATTCGTATTGAACCGCCTGCATCAGTCCCATCACAGGTTAGTCACTTCAGTGTATCTCGATTTATTTGAATACTCAAAGTAATATTTCATTGAGTAATTTTGTTTTTATGGCTTGACTGTTTTATGTGACTTTCTTCTTGCTTCATTTTGTACTAAGTAACTTCAAATTCACAACCAGCAGGACCCCCTTTTGAGATTCGTGGTACAGCAATAGGACCAAGAAACAGTCCACACAAAATAATATAACATTGTGAAGACATGAAGCGAAGAAAAGTGGATAAGTAAAGAGTAGAATACAATAAGAATAGAATGAGTAGAAGGACACTTTGCTGTTACTTTTCAGCAGCTGAAGATAGAAGGAGGCTCCAGTATGACTGCCGACGGTATCGATTCTGAGCCATATCGGATAACGTCTCAAGCCACTAAGTTGTGTGATCTCTTGGACCTCACCCCACGCAGGGAGTCGTGATGCACCAACGGATGCTAACCCGACACAACTGTCCTTCATCTCACGGTCCTCATGTCACACAATGACCACCCTTCCGCCCTTTCCATCTAGTCCCAGGCCCAGAGACAACAAACGATGAACGGTATGGAAGCCGTTGGGGTGACATATGTGGGATATGTCCAAGCCACTGAAGCCGGTATTTCCAGATGACTGCACTTATTGAATAACGATCTCCATCATACCTCGCAACTACTTACATGGTGTTGCAACCGGATACGAGCAATCCTACAGGGACAACGATGATCGAGCAAACTTGTTCGTTGCACATCGTCTGCTCGAGTGTAGAGCAGAACTACTTGTACTGAAGCGTTGTAAACCTGACCTTTTACAGTCGGACTGAAGTTGCGATGGCGCCAGAGGTGGTCCAGATTGGCGTATGTCACTCTGGTTTTCGATATGCGGTTGGAAATGTCATCACTGCTACCTGCACCAGTACTCACACAGCCACCCAGATACAGGAAAGTTTCGACTACATCAAACGGGTCACCACCAAGGGTGAGCGCAGGCACAAGCTCCTGTCAACCTTGTAGGAGTACTTTGCACCTTAGTGGTGCGAAGCATGGACCATACACTAATCGCCAATTTATTAAGTGCGACTTGAGCAGCCTGTGTGTTATCGCACAGTAAGATGATATCATCCAGCTATTCTAAGTCGGATAGCTGTTCTCTGGATAATAGATCGACACTACCGTGGCGCACTTTCTTCAGGACTGTCTCAAGAATGTCATCGATGGTAAAGTTAAAGAAGAATTGAGAAACCAAGCAACCCCGCCTAACCCCCACTATTCGTTTGGAACAATCGAGGCTGGTGGTTGTGTGCTCTCACTCTGCCTCAGGTGTTATTATATAGGGATTTCAAGATGTTGAGAAATTAAGATTTGAGATTCACCAGTAAAAACATACTTATATTGCAGTAAGGTAGCATAGAGACATTTACACGTAAAATCCATCCATAGGTCAAAAGATTTTATCCTTAACAGCTTCAATGTTCATAATGCACTAACAAACAATTCTGTCTTGAACACGAAGTGGCCATTACCATTATGCTAACTTCATGGATAACGTGTCCTTTGAAGCAATGGATATTAAGTTTGAATGTCAGTAAATAACAGCAACCATCCACTGCCAAACGTAATCATCATCTGATAACAGTTGGTATCGAATTGTCTTAATCATCATTAACAATGATCTTTGTTAAATCTAAAATGGTGGTTGCTAGACCCCAGGCAAAGTGACTTGCAAAACCTCAAAAGACCGGAACAGAACTATTGACCTTTTTTATTTACGCGGTACTATAAATAAGAATTATGGCCTTCAACTGTAGTGCTTCTGCGGGGATGTGGTACTGCGGAATCAATTACAAGAAATAATCGGCGAGAGCCAGCTAAGCAATCTACAGATGATGTAAAGAAAAAAATCTGGAGATCACTTTTCAAACGAGCACATCAACAAAATGACCGGTGCTTACACAAAATCACTTATGCATCTGAAGTGATTGTAAAACCTGTCACTCAGTTCTTCGGTCGGAAGAGATGTTACCATTGAGTGCCATAAAAGTATAAAGTCTACGTCCAGTCCTTTTTCTTCACTTTCCAACCTCCTAACATCAATGCAAAAGTACCGGGGTGATGAATGTTTCAACTTGGTGACCATATTGCAAAGTTGATCGTCAGAATTCAGTGTGTACTTAGGACTGGATAGTATGAAATTGGTTGCTGTCTAGATAGATGGGATCTCGTATTACTGCGTAACAATACAACTTGCCACACTTCATATCAGTACATGAAGCGAGAGTACATCAAGATGGAGGGTGGAGAGATAAACTAGAAAGCAGTCAAAAGCAAGGGGAATGGGAACATACTTAGTTTCAGTAAAATGATCTAAGATGAAGGGTTATATGTGAATACATCTACGTCACTTAGATAGATTCTAAACTATGTCACCTACAGTCTCCAACCACTGGTTTGTATTGTCACGCTGACCCCAATCTACAAGTCTACACTTCCCTACACGCCTCAGACCAACAGTCAAAGACTTCATGCAGTGATTTCACGTTTCGATCTATCTGACCGCCCCTAATCTTTTTTCAGCCGAAACCTACCTCAGTTAACATTATACGACGAGTTAGACGGCGACCAGGTATGCGTAACACGTTTCTCAGCCACTTCAGTTAATGATCGTTTACGGTCACATCAGCTGACTTTCTTCTTCTCCTTAAAACTCTACACCTGACTTCTAAATTATTGATATAGTGACATCATGACATGGCCTATGCTACCAATAAAAGGTGGTCGAACGTCTGAAACACTTTCATACCTAGTGACCAATGTTTACGAATAATAGAGAGATAGTTATGACGTTATCTTATGCTCTTCTCCAACTACTGAAGTATGCTAAGCAATTACGAGTGACTTTAAAGACCACCTTAGCAACAACTGGGATAACCAGTAAGATTTCTCTATTTTATGAAAATCTACCTTTCCAGAAGAAGTGAAGAAATATAATTGGTTCTTCAAGTCGTTGTTAGAATGGCTTTAAAAGTCAATCGCAGTCACACTGGGAGTGATCGCTATGAGGCGTAAAGATGCACTTTCATTATCCAATACATTGCATAAGTTAAGGTTTTAGATTCTTCATCATGCAAACATATTCATATCTCATCGTAAGAAGTGATATTTACACGCATTTGTTGAGTGACTTAAACCCCCCACGCTGACTATGACTGAAATAACCAATTAAATTTCTCTGTTTCGAGTGCAAAGTTAGCTTTTCATAGATTATAGAACTTTAGTTGCTTACTTCAGTATTTGTTGGAGCGTTGCCTTTAAAGTCATTCTGTTTGATACAGATTGTTATCTTTCCTCTTCACCTGATTTCATCGTCTTCATCCCTTAGGTTAGGCATATATGTAGTTTGAAACAGTCCCTTTTGTGAGTTTGGATAATGTGTTTAGAAGACGTAGATTATCTGGAAAATGTGATGATCAGATTGTTCGAAATGTATAGCGCTTCACGTTTTTCAGGTAATCTACGTCACCTAATTATACTATCCAGATATATGTAGTTTTCGAAAAATAGGGTGGAAGCTGGTCTGTAAGTTTGTGTGACTGTGACGAATGAGATGTGTGTAAGGTATATATTTACTCACCAAGTCACTGTCTCCCCTAGCAGAGAAAAAGACAGGATAGAAAAACCAAAATAAATCACGACGCTATGGTCTGAGTCATTCGGGGTGGGGGAGTTTAAGCTGATAGGTTGGTTACAATCAAGGTGATAAAACACAGCAAATCAAAATCCTAATGACATGGTTGAAAATTGTCAAGGCATGACTCATGCATATTCACACATCTTCTTAGGTAGTCTTGACTAAGATTTCTTACTCATTGTTTGCTGTTTCTCTTCATATGTTTCCTTTGTCGTCTCTACTTATCTCGATAAATTTTTACTTGGGTCAGCTTCCTTTGTCAATATTCTTGTCCTGTAGTAATAAACTGAACCAGGGCAATTCTCTGCAAGCTTCAATGTTATATGCAACCATCTATAATAAGTAAAGCTCTTTTTTTTCCAAGGTTTAAATAATACACAAATATGTTAATGACTGGGGTAAGAAGGGATTTGCAACGGTCGAAAGTCATTATCATAACGCTGACTCACCAAGGCGTCCGTCAAGCGATCTCTATCATTACGGTATTTTAAACATAAGTGTTTCAATTTGTCTCTTTTTTCACTCGTTTGTCTAGAAAACACGTTTTATATTAATTTCAGCACATTTTGAGCCTTTCAGTAGTGACCTTCAAAAGCTGCCCATTTTCTGAAACAATTTCAGTAATTTATTTGAATCTGTTTGTGGATCGTGGGTATCACCACGATACTTCATGATGTGTCAACTAAATAGTGTATGTTCTGCTTACAAACTTTTCACCTCCTTTTTTTACATTTATTTAACCACCTAAAAAAGTTACGCCCAAATGTGTATTCTTATCTGAAGGAATTAGGAAAATCAGTTTGAGTAAACATGATTAGAATAAATTTGCCGACCGCCCTACCAACACAGAAAAAACAGTCAATATTGAGCATAACAGACTGAATGAGACACATAAAACACTATATTTTAATGGTGGATAGTGGCTAGCAGTGGGATCCAGGACGTGCGTTTCGTCCTATTTAGCACTCGCCAGCTGGGTGTGCCTGCCTCCCTGTGAGCGGTCTTCTTCCCACTAGGGCTCGGATCCACCACCGATCGCTTCAAACCCCAAAGCGTTACCCACTAGATCACCGAGCCGCAACGGCCACTTCTTGTGCGGTGGGTATAGGTTTACTGTTGTTACTTGCTGGCGTTCAAAGTGATCGGTCCCGAGTTCAAGTCCTAGTTGGAATAACATTGCTCACTGGGAGGGAGGTACATCCAACTGACGGGTCCCAAATAGAACGAAACACCCGTACTGGATTCCACTGCTAGCCTCTATCCGTCATTAACGTGTAGTTGAAACACAAACAGTATCGAGTCATCCGCGCAGGAGCCCATATGC